AAAGAAATCTGAATCCAATTCTCTCGGATTTTCTCCAATAACTCCCTTCTCCTTCTTTTTTTCTTTATAGGACAGTGACCTCCAGAAAAAGATTGACCATGAGATTCGGATGCGTGATGGAGCCTGCAAGCTGCTGGCTGCCTGCTCCCAGAGAGACCAGGCGCTGGAGGCAGCAAAGAGCCTGCAGACCTGCAGCACTCGTATCTTGGCCTACATGTCTGAGCTGCAGAGGATGAAGGAGGCCCAGGTCATGCAAAAGGTCACACGGAGGTCATCGGATGCCGGGCCGATGGATGACAGAATGCCATGTAAAGGGAAAGTGGCAATTTCAGGTGTGTGGCTTCTTCAAATATGTATGAAGAAAAGGGAACATTCACTTTCTGTCTTTTTAATGGGACTTCCTGGTGGACAAATGCTGAACATTTTTTATTATTATTCATTTAACATTTCAGCTTCCATTTTCTGAACAGAAACCTGTTCTCTTCAATCTCTTCATTTCCTTCTCATCCATTAACGCCTGTAAGAAGTTATAATAATCATTTTAACATATAGTATCTGATTCTTCTTGCTGTAAAAAAAGACATGAGCTAGTGAATAAGGCCTGCCATTGTTCTAAAAATAAATCTGTGGAGTTCCAGGATAAAATAGCATTTATAGTACTGCAGATCGTCGTGGCAGGGGCACTGATATCCCCCTCTGCCTCGTCTCCCTCCTCCTCCACTCTGTTATAAGACGTGCTGGTGGGATTCATCGTCAATGCTGGGCCGACAGCTCCTGTCATAACTAGTTATTTTCTCTGCATGTTGGTTCAGTGATTGTGCTTTTATTACTTCAAATTACTTATAATGAAATGGAAATTCAAATAGCTGTCATTTGGTTTTATTCCTTGAATATTGATTGCACTGTTTCTTACTATGCCTTCATAAAATACCCTGTATTAGAAAAGCTAAATGACTCCATACATCATTCTTATGTTGTAGTGTTACTTTGTTTAACACAAAAAATATGGGTGTTTTAAAGACATGTCACAAGTATATTTTAACAAAATAAACTCAGATGTGTTGAATTTTTTTGTATCAGTTCACACAAAAATTCACACAACTGGAGTAGTTCACATACAGAGTGTCCTCGGTTAAAACTCGAATAAATACCTTTTGCCCTTCATTATGGCTCCTAAGTGTAAGTCAGACTCTTCAGGTTTATGTTCTAGGTTATGTTTATCATTATAATACTTGTGTACATTATATAAGTTCCAAAAATGGAGATACATCACACAGTAGTAATAGAACTCGGACGAAAGACGAGAAACTCTGTATATATGTATTAATCAGAGACACCTAAGTCATTAACTTACCAGCACTGGTCCAATTACTGGTCCAACCAACCAGACACTTTTAGTCCACATATATTTACTTTACCGCCTCAGTTTCCCCAAGACTGAACTCTACACCACAGGAGACCTGATCACCTGAGGGCACCACAGACTGTGGAGTCTTTTAAAAAGCAAAAGTTTTTTTAAATTTTTATTTCTAAAATTGTTTAACATTTAATCATTATTGTTGTTTTAACCCTTATTATTATTATTATTATTATTATTATTATTATTATTATTATTATTATTATTATTATTATTATTATTATTATTATTATTATTATTATTATTATTATTATTATTATTATTATTATTATTATTATTATTACCATCTCTAATCCCCTTCTCTAATCCCCTCACCTCTTGTCTTCACAGATCTCCGTATCCCCCTCATGTGGAAGGACACAGAGTACTTTAAGAACAAAGGAGGTGAGGAAACTTCACTTGAGATACATATGGCTTTACAGCATAATTAAAAAGACCTTTGAATCATTTTTCAGTGGAACAGAAATCATCCTGGTATTTAAGTAAAACCCTAAGATGGGCTTTTTTCAAAATGATGCTGACCCATGAAGTTTCTACTGACCTGTGAAATAATTGTTCCAGCTAAAATTCAAGCTTTGTAGCTCAGCTTAGATCAGTACAGTCTGCTGCAGGCACTCAGACATGAGCAAATCTTTGGCTTCAAACCCCTGACCCAGTGCTCAGTGTGGCTTTTCATCTAGGCTCTGAGAAGCAGCAAAACACAGGTGCTAAACTGGGTCATTATTAGTAGAGCAGAGACAAGTGGAAGAAATTAAATCTAAAAAAAGAAGATTTACTACTATAACTGCAGAGAGGGTCATGAGTTTTTCTGGCATTTCATTGCTGGAAATCTTAAAAAAGCAAATCTATATATTGCCTTTTTTTTAACCCACCTCCTCTTGACAGAGTCAATTTGGTTTGACCTCTGTGCAGCTGCTTTAACAGCTTCGGTGTCCATTCTGTCCACTGGCATTTCAACTGAAATTAATTCCTCATGGCCTGTGCATGTAAATTAAGTTAGGAGACAAGTGGAAGACTCTTAACAAAGCTTAATGAGACCATTAGTCAAGGTCATTAAACACACTGAGATATAAACTATACCAAGGAGGCAAGAAAAAGTAAAGTATGTGTGTGTGTGTGTGTGTGTGTTTTAAATCAGAATCGTATTTGAAGCTCATCCTTGGAAATAGTAGCTTGGAATATAAACTCTTATATGTCCAGGGAAGAGAAAGAAGACCATGTTCCTCTGCTTTTTCTTCCCGGTAACCTTCACATTGTGTGCTATCAAGTAAATATTGCCCCTGAGTTCAAATGTGTAATCGAAGAGAAGGAACACAAAAGAACAAGGATGGTGGAGTGTCCAGTGCCAAGTTATTTATTTTATAGTGATGACACTCCAGGTATTGTTTTGTTCCTATTATGGATGTGATTGTGTTTCGCCTCTCCATAAATTGCTATAGGGGCATTTTTACTAGGCCTATTTATTATCCAGGAGTGCACTTCCATGACTTTGAGTTGTTATCCAGTTCTTACCACCTACAGGAAGTTCAAACTCCAACAGTACTGCACAGAGAATTCTCAACACTTTTAAAACAACTGCAGGTTTAGTCAGAATGGTGCAGTAACCACAGAGGGCTGTAGCCCATAGAAATATCTCAAAAATAAATATCAAATAATTAAGTTAAACGAAATGGAATTTTTAATTCATTTTATAGGAAACCAAAGCTTTTTTACTGGGTGAAACACTGCTTCCGGCAGCTCAGACTCCAGATATTAGTGTTCGTCCCTGAGGTTTTATTTTCTTCTTTTTCTTCTTCTCCATGTTGTCCTCTGCAGAGCTCCATCGATGCGCTGTGTTCTGCCTTCTGCAGCTGGGAGGAGAAATCTTTGACACAGACATGGTGATCGTAGATCGGACACTCACGGACATCTGCTTTGACAATGCCATTGTGTTGTAAGTCTTCAAAATCTGCAACTTCTTTAATTCCATAAAGCCTTTTCCATGTTGATAGAGAATAAAACAAACTGCTGATTATGGTGTCCTCGCAGCAGTGACGCCAGCCCTGGTTTCGAGCTACGTGTTGAACTTTACAGCTGCTGCTCTGAGGATGATTACTCCGCAGGGAGCACGCCAAGGAAGCTGGCCAGCAAATTGAGCTCCTCGCTGGGACGATCATCTGGCAAGAAGCTACGGGCATCCATGGAGCCTGGACCCGTCAGCCCTGTAAGCAACGGGGGAGCCTCTCCTCTCCTGCTGCCAGTTCCCTCTGTACCGTGAGTGTGCTTTGATATAATAATTCACCAAATGCTCGCTCATCTAAATGACTCAACCATGTCTCTCTCCTCTTCTGTCTGCAGAGGCCCAAAGTATCACCTCTTGGCTCACACCACACTGACACTCTCACATGTCCAGGACAGCTTCCGCACACATGACCTTACCATCTCAGGCAACGGTGAGTGGTTGGCTTCAGCATTCCTTCCAAATTCCTTATACTTATAAATTCCCAAACACTTGGGATTTTTTTAATCCTATTTGCACAAGATCAGAACTTGTGTCTACATAGTAGCCTCACAAGCTACAGACAAGACAGGTGTGATGGATTCATTTTAGGAACAAATGTATTAATACAGTATACTGTGGTCTGTTCACCCTCAGTAAGATGATGTGAGTGCTTTTGTAGAATGCTCTGGAAAATAATACCATTGTGACACTTTATAAAAACAACTTAAACCCAGAGCAGCCCCCTAACTCTCACCTTATTTTGTAATTATTTTGTCAGATACCTGCAACCAATAACTGAGGAGAGCTGATAGAGTAAAATCAGAGCTGCGGCCCACTGAGCACAGCGCTGATGTTGATCAAACTGTCCAAACACGTTTTTCTCCATTTCATTTTGTATCCAATTTAGTCAAATAATTATACAATCAGCTCGACCAGGATACAGTTTCATTTCCTACTATTTTCCAGCCATTTTTTTTTTGAAACACTGATTTTCTGTTCTGGCCAACACCCCTGCGCACACAGTCTCACACACTTGTACCCCCACCCACTTATTTTTCCTCATCATTTTCCTTGTATTCTGACAGACAGCCATTGTCAAGGTCACAGTAATAAAGGCCGTGGGCCAGTGAGGTGGCTGTTGAGTAAAGCTGTAATGATGTGGGCTAACAAGGGCCCCGGCCCTCAGACAGACAGGCTAGTGTTTTATTCATTGGCCCTTCAGCCCTTCAGCTGTAAAGTTTCATTGCTAAACTTCATGACACTCCCTGCAGCCGCCACTCTTTAACACCCCACTGTCTTGTTTTGCCCAATCTGGGGGTCACTTTGACATGAGGATAAGGCAAGTGTGTGTGTGTGTGTGTGTGTGTGTGTGTGCGTGTATTTAATAATTGATGTGTATGTCTTAATGTCATGAGGGAATATTCTTTGACATAATTGTTGCCCCTCCATTAATCTCTCTCTCTGTCTCTCTCTCTCTCTCTCTCTCTCAATCTTTCTCTCTCTCTTTCGCTCTTTCTCTCCTCGCAGAAGAGTGTTCCTATTGGCTGCCGCTCTATGGCAGCATGTGCTGCCGCCTCGCAGCTCAGCCTCACTGTATGACCCAGAAGATGATGAGTGGATGTTTAAAGGTCAAGGTAAATGTGTAGCACAGCTCAGGGGACTCTTGGGCTGTTTTACCTCTGCAGAGAAGGTCATTAGCTGGTGGCCATTAGCAGAATTGTGCAAAAACAACACAATCGATCCTCTGGAAACTTGGTGGTAGATTGGGGTGTGGGCACAATGAGAAAAGCTCATGATCTAAAGAAGATGTAATTGAGGGTGTAGAAAGTGGAATATTCAGCTCTATCTGAAAGATAATTCGTGCAGTAATCAGATTTTCAACAATACCTCTCCTCCACACCCTGCTACACTTTCTAATAATATAAGTTTTTTATCTTTGCCTTGCAGCAATGTGGTGCTGACCTTCAGAGTTGGACAAAGGTGTACGCAGTTCTCAAAGGAACCAGTCTTTTCTGTTACCATCGGCAAGAAGATGTGGAGGCCAATGTGGAACCAGCTTTTACAATTGGTATCAACAAGGTCAGAGAAAGAATCACATGGAAGTTCAGAAGAGGGTTTAAAAGGGTTTTTGGATGCACCTAATGTGTTTGTAACAGAAAAAGACTGTGAGTTACTGCTCAGTAGCTGAGTCAAAAAAAAAAAAAAAAAAAAGTTGGTTAATGTTTAAGTAACCACCATGAAAGTGCCCTTCATCAAGGTGTCAGGCTGTCAGCTGACCCTGTGAAGGTGAATATGAGCCAAGAATGAATCTGTAGTAAAGGCTTACGGTGTAACAATAAATATTAAAGCGAAGCTTGAACATTTCTGGACAATATACATTTGGTTTTTATTTCCTTCAGCCATTGTTTCCACTAAAGAACCCATAGTCCACGTCCTTCCAGTAAAACATCAACATTCTCTCGTGTCTGTTCTTCCCCAGTCTCTGACAGACTGACACGATCTCAATCATCTTATAGCCCATGTCTGTGAGTCAGTGCTGTCTGTGTGTGTGGGGTTTTTCCCCCATTCTTTCCACACTGACTCATTGAGTCTTTTGTGGCCTCTGACCCTGAGCACACAGCTGAGCCTTAGCCGCAGCAGTCAGATCAGATCATGTCTATGTGATCCCTTTGTCAGGCATCTGGCTCTGCCTGCAGAGGGAAGGTCATTGGTATGAATAGAACAACATTGCCATCTAGTGGTGATAAAAAAACACCTACACAAACTTAGTTGGACCCATTGTTTATAAATTCTGGAGTGAAATGGTTTGGAAGACGACGGCTAATTATTGTAGCATTATTCTCAGTTCTGGACAGGACTGTTCTGTTATTGATTACGTGTTATAATATAATATTTTAGATTTCCTTTATTTCTGCTTGCAGTGGTTTCCTGTACATTGTATCAGTTCTGTCTCTCTCTCTCTCTCTGTTTCCAGGAGACCAGGATACGAGCGGCAGAGAAAGACCCTCAAAGTAAAGTGCAGAATATCTGCATTAGCAACCAGTATGGAGGAGAGGAGGTCACTCACACTCTGACCACAGACAGTCGAGAGGACACACACCGGTGGATGGAGGCTTTTTGGCAGCATTTCTATGACATGAGTAAGTCACTTCATATGCTTTCATACAGGCATTATGTGAAAGAAATACACTGCCTTAGAATTACACTGCTGTAATCTCAAAGGTAATCATACAAACTCTTCTCTCCAAAATGATTGCAAATTATAACTGTAAGAAAGGTGGTGTGTGATGAAATCGAACAATTTTCTGAGGGGTCGCTGGTGTTATTCGTGAAATAGTTTGTTTAATGAATGAACACAAAATGATCAGTAGAATGATTGGAGTTTTAAGTGACAAAATTTAAAAAAATTAAACTGTTTTGTTGCATTTTAAGTTCTGGATGTTGATGAATGATTTTCTTAAACTGTTGTGGAAGTAGTCTGTGTTATATTTTCTGCAAACCTATTAAATTAATATATTTTTTGCTTGGTCACAGGCCAGTGGAAACAGTGTTGTGACGACTTGATGAAAATTGAACTGCCTTCCCTGAGAAAACCTGCCCCTGCCACACCAAAGCAGGGTTCGCTTTACCACGAAATGGGTGAGTCTTATTCTTGATTCAATAAAGAATAACATTATTTTCAGTCACCTGTATGTATAAAGACAAACACAAAAGGTCCACTGAGAACAGGAGCTCGGTGCCTGCTCTGCACGCATGTGTGATGAATTCCTCCAGTCCATGTCACCTCACACTCACACTCTGCTTTACGTCTGTGTTCTGTAGATAGACTGGTTCTTTTCTGACATGCTGACTTACTCTCTGTCTTCTGTTTCTCTGTCTGAACTTCCCTTGTTTCTCCTGAATCCTTCACTGCTTTGTCCTGTTTTCTTACCATCCGTTTCCTCATAAATTATTCATCATCACTTCCGTATTCTTTCACCTATTATCCTGCTGTATTGTTTCTAACGGATGAATTATCATCATCCTTTACCAAATCCTTTTTTTTCTTGTTTCACTGCACCCGAACATTCATTTCCTTTTTGAACTCTTATAATTTTCTGCCACCGCATCATAACAAACAAACCGACCTCTGCCTGTTGCTCACCCTCCCTTTCCTCTCCACATCTCCTTTCTAACCATGTTCCTCCTTTTCCTTGGTGCTCCTAACTCCCCTGGCAGCTCCTCTTTCCACACCCTCCTGCGAGGGTCTTCTGCTGCAGGATAACGCCGTGTCTGCTGAGATTCGCGCTCTGCTCTCGTCCTATTACAACGACAGGTGAAGTAACAGGAGCAGGGCTTCTCGCTCAATTTTTAAACGTCCGTGCCAGATTGCACATACCGCGAACAGGCTGGACTCAGTGGAGAACACGTTCTGGAGCAAATAAAGCAAGGCCAAACTTTATTTGAAATTCAGCGTCAGTCACCAATCAATAATACTTTGCATTTACTGTTTAAAAGATGAACAACTCATTCAGGACACAGAAAAGAAAAGTCAGGAAAGTCTGAGCAACATGAGAATGAACAAATGGAACTTGGATGTTTCTTGCAAGTTTGTGTTGCATGACCAAATGAAAACAAAATGTTTAAGTGTTTGGTAGGCATGACAACAAGAATTGTTGTTGAATGGTGAGTGTATAGAAATGTGAGGCTGTAAGATTATGTCAGATCTCTGGATTTTGGACCACATCAGAAATATGCAGTAAATTTAGTTAGTTTGTTTTTTTACTCACTGTGTTTTCATCTAGAAATCACATGACAATAATAGTAAAAGGCCTGTGGACAAGGAAAACACCTGATGGTTATATTGATGTTGCCAGAAGTCACACTGACACTGTGACAAAGCTAATGAACTCGTACAGTAGTGCTGGTTGCTGATTGAATGTCTTCATTTAAGGTGAGGGTGAGGGAAAAATTACAAAAATACAGTATGTTTGGATAAGATCATAATAACTAGTATACGTAGCCACACGTGTATTTGTGCAGGTCTTTTTTCAATTTACTGTATAATACTGATAACATTCAGCAGGTGGAGTCAGATGACTCCAGGTATGATTTCCCTTGACACTCTGTGGTGAATCTTGTTAGAATGAGGCCTTTGGTGAAGTTGCCGTGGTGTGTGACCACAACCTGAGGAAGTGCTCACAAAGTTACTGACAAAAAATTGTAACGAACAGCAAAATTAGATAATTAATAAACAGTGGCCATCTCAGCCTTGCAGGTCATTATATCAGGACCAGTTAAGACATAGGCAAATGGACTGTATTGGTTTCGAGAAGACGTCTCATCTCTCATCCAAGAGGTGTCTTTGGTTCCAAAAGACTGCTGGAAAGATCCAGGTATTTTTATTAGCCTTAGAATGGCTGAATACCTGAAATCATGAGTGAGTCATTATAGCAGAACAAAGCAGCTGACCACACCCTGAACCACTGGCAAGAAGTTGCAATACCTGGGTCATAAATGTTTAACAGTTATGGCATAGTATCCTTAAATTACAGATTAAAAAGTATGCAATATGTTGTTTTATTATTTAAAATCCAAGAAGCTTATTCTTCAGTACAAAATATATAAATTATTTATTGTTTGTTTTCCTTCCTGCAGTTATTGAATCCTCTGATGATCTCAGCAGTTCTGTGTCAGACATCCTGGCCCGGAGGTTGCAGGAGCTGGAGCTCCGCAGCCAGTTAGGCACCTCCCCCACATGGATGTCTCTGTTTGAGGAGAACAGCCCTAAAATCGTCGGTCGCCCACGTCCCTGTACTTCTCGCCTGTCTGGCCACAGTCCCTGCACCCCTCATCGTCTGCCCAGGAGCCCTGTGAGCCCTCACCGCTGCGCCCAGATGGGCCTTCTGTCCTCAGACGTGAGTCTGACTTCAGATAGCGACAGCCATTGCAGCACCAGTCTCTGCTCCCACCACTACGGCTGGCCTGAACCTTCGTCAAACTTCCCAATCTTGTCATCTTCGCCCTCCCGTCTCAGACCTCGCACTTTGTCACTGGATGCTAAACTTAGTACGCTGCGAGGGAGGGGGTTGGGAGGAGGGGGCGTAGGAGGAGGAGGAGGAAACTGCCACTGCTCCTGCCAGCCTCCTTCTTCCTCACTTCTGGGCCCTAGTCCCATCTCCTCCCGTTCGCCTCGATTGCAGCACAGCACTCAGACCACGCTGTCCTGCTCCAGCTCCACCTCCAGCAGCAGCAGCTCCAGCAACAGTGAGTGCAGCCACAGCCCTGAGTCGTCTGAGGGGGTCCCCTTCTCAAGGCCTTCCCCGGTGCGACGCAGCCTCAGAAACCTCAGGGCCAGACTTGATCCCCGCAACTGGCTCCAGAGTCAAGTGTGAACTGGTTTCCTGCCAGACAATTCATCCAAACCTAAGGTGAAAGAACCTGTCAGACCATTAGCTGCATGAACCAGACCTCCTACTGGATGATGGACCCTTGAAGACCCTCCTGGGCCAAACTGGAATGTCTACGAGCAAAAAAAAAAACAAAAAAAGAAAAGACAGGTGACAATCACTGCAGTAGTCTTTTGATTTTGCAGGTTTGCCACAATTTCCAAAACTCTATGGGAGGTGCTCACAAAGTTTGTCCTCATGTGGAACTGGATAAGTTTCAATGATCACCTCTTTATTCCCTAGTTTTAGCCACATGAACATTTTCCTCAAGGACATTTCTATTAAAGCACTAGCAGCAGTGTTTTGACTGGACAAGACAGTATTTTTTAACAAAACAATTTGCAGTGTTGATGGTAAGCATGTGGCCAAAAATAATGGTAGCGGAAGAGTTTTCACGTGATCTCTGTGAGTGTGAAGTGGCGAAGTTAACGTTTCCGTTGCCTGAACTGTGATTTTTTCGCCTTCACTTTAATCTGTCTAATTATTCACACAACACACAGTGTCTGTGGTGTATCCTTACATAACTATGCAGTTTTTTCCGACCTGGTTACACATAACAGAGAAAATGATATGGGTGAGACAAGTTTCACCAAATGCAAACTTACTGTACTGGTTTTTACTGTGATCTCTTCAGGGTTGAATCTGTGCTCTGCTATGTTTTTTTCTGTTTACACCTTCACCACAATTCTTAATAAAAACATGCGTCTCCCAGTGAACCAGTTATCAACCAATGTTATATAACAAATATATTAATATTATTGGCATCAAATACATAAACCTATATTACCCCTGCTTCAGAAAAGTTGACTATAAGTGACGCCATCGACACCATTTGCAGCTAATTATATTGTCATCTGTCCAGCAGAAGAAATTGTAGTTGAAACCATCACTTTGAATGTCCATGACAGACAACAACCACAGAACATTTGTGGTTCCCTAGTGTGGTGGTTAGAACACGTGCCTTATACATCTGCCTCACACACGAAAGGTCCTGGGTTTGAGCCCCAGAGGAACCACATACTTAATGGTGCCTGCTGTGGCAGTCTGTGAGTTGCAAGGACTAACATTGTGAATTTCTACAATTTGTTGGATGAAAAAGTGACTGTATGATGAAAAAGTAAAAATCAAATATAAAATTTGGGCATTTTCATAGTAGTGCTTTTATTGTCTTTTTGGGAAAAACATGTCATATTTATATATATAACTTTTCTGAAAAAGGGGTTTTAATATATAAAGCCATAGTTTAATTTGTTCTTAAGCCTCTTCAGTACTCTTCAGTGTGAGTATTCCTGCTTTGACTCCAGAGAAGGTCGTGCAAAAGATCCAAAAAATTCAATTTAATGTGAAAAGCATTGGTGAAACATTATTGATGCAACAATAAGATAATAGATAATAGATAAGTAGAAATGATCTATTACATAGTCCTACCAACTGCTCTAAAAAGTACAAAGAAAAAAAAAACTTTTACGGTACAGTAGGAAGTATAAAGCGTTGCTGCCTTTCACAGAAGTTATTTAAATCAGTGTCAGTGCAGAAAAACCTCTTCTGTCTCTTTCTTGTAACAGGTTTCTCTCAAAACAAACAACCCCCCCCCGAATAAACAGCCTTTTATTACCAAGATTTTAAAATTGTCAAGTGCTGACGAACAGCATTTGTTACTGTAAATTAGTTATTATAAGTTAACAAATAAACCTCTCTTGGATGTTGTTTTTTTTTTTTTTTTTGGTAACGTTATAGATTTGGTTATAAATGCAGCTATATTTACACCTGGTGAGAATAATGTTAACAGGTGATGTGCAGAACGTTAACATTGAATGTTATAACCTTGCAGCTGTTTTCTTTGTTGGCAAACTTTGTATTCTGCATGTACGCTGTTGTGGAAGGACAGGACAAGAGATGATGACATGTGGGAACCTGATGTTGAAATATAACATAAATTATAATAAATGATGTTATTATTTACATCTGTTTGTTGATGAGCTGTTTTTACATGAACCTTAACCAAGTAGACTGTTTTTAATGTGTGAAGGAATATGTTCAATTATGTTTTTTTAATAATTTCTTTGTAAGAACTTTTGCATCTTAAATATGGGCTATAGCATGAACATCCATCCATCCATCCATTTTCATCCGCTTATCCGTTACCGGGTCGCGGGGGCAGCAGTCGCCACCCAAATCACATTGCACCGTACCTAAACCTTCCTGCGGGTGGTGAGTCCACTGGAAGGTACCAACCGCCCTAACCGGGATTCGAACTTGCCCAGGAGGTGAACCCTGGGGTTCCACACCAATGACAGAGACATTGCCTCTGGGCCAAAGCGCCACTAGCATGAACATTTCAGAAAATATTTTAGAAGAAAACAATTGGAGAAAAAAATTGACTTTGGTGAATAAACATATTATAACTTAATCCTTTGTTAATTTAGGACGTGGTGGTTTGAGAGGTAACCCTTGAGTTGACGAAGCCCATTAATGGCATAGAGTCACTAAAAGGCTGCACAAAGCAAACAAAGCATCAATATGATAGGTATCTCTCTTTCTTCACATACTCGCTTATTTACTTCTCTCCTGTTCTCTCTCTCTCTCTTTCTCCCACTCCCCAGGACTCTTCTCTCGCTTTTTATCCTACTCACCAGTTCTTGCTAGCTTCCTCTCTCTCACTCTTACTCTGTCACTGTCTCTCATTGTCTTTAAAAAGAACCTCCTGACTCGTTCTCTAGGTCACCATTAAGAAGCAAGGTAATGACAAAAATCCACCAACTGGAATAGGTGCTCTTAACTGTGAAGCTAAGAGCACCTATTCCATACCCTCTCAACAGAAGCCACTTAGTGTCTGTGGAAATGGGGGCACCATTGTGATGAGTGGTTACAAGTATATTGTTTTGAAAAGATAAAATTAACTTTATAAAATTATATTTTAAGACTATATGGAGCTGATACATTAATAGAGGATATAAATGTGAACAAGTTTCAGTGTACAGTAAAGACTGATCAGATACATCACACTGTCAGAGTCAAGTCAAATCAGAATAATCCTGGATACTTTCAGATAAACCTTGTTTAATCCTCTCTTTTCACCTGCAGGTACTACTCCCCCTGGCTCCCCCCTTGAAGATGTGTCTCCTTGCGTAGCTGAGGTTGGACAAAGACCAAGAACAGCAGGTAGAACGCAGGCTTTATTGACAAGGTTTCGATAGCAAAGCTGTCGATCTGCAAATACTACAAAGCACTCTCACAGACATACAGTAGGAGGTAGTCGACACAGAGTCTTCACTGAGCATCGAAGTATGCATAGAGAAATACTATGGCCAGTGATTGAAACGTCTCGGCTGAAAACCCAGAAGCTCTCTGTTTGTACGTAGTGCAGAGATGCATCCTTTTTGTGCTGTTTTTAACTCAACATCTGCGTAAAGTATAAAAATCAAACATCTATTCATATTTAGATGTACAAAATAAAACCATGTCATCATCAGCATATATAGTTGAACTACTTTATAGCATAATGCTTTACATATCCTTACGTATCCTTTGTAAACAAAAAGATTTTTTTTTTACAAAGTTTGGCAATTCCGTTAATGGTGTTGGAGTACATAAGTAAAAGAATGTTGCAGTGATAAAACTTTTGTATTGTGCACTTCAGTTTGTTCTTCACAACGACCTCTCATTAACAGACACTGCGAGGGTTGAACGCCCGCAGCGCCACACCAGCCAGTGTTCTCCAGGCAAACGTGGAGAACTTTGCAGGGCACGTTCCGGCTCTGGTGATGTACGTGGTAGCCAGTCGATGTAGACGCTTTGCTCCAAAGGTGTTGTAGTGACCAGGAAGGACTTGGTCCACCTGGTGAAGAGGTTTGACAACAATTAAAATTGTACAAGGTGAATGGTCAGACTGTAATGTTAGTCACTTTACAAAATGCCTAATAGGATTTATTTTCTTAACAGAGCCTGTAGCTGCAGTACAGGCTGTCGGCCACAAGTTAAGCAGATTTCCATATTTACTTTTGTTATTATTAGGGCTGTCAGTGGTTCCAAATTTTATTTCAGAATGATCACTGGGGAAGCTGTGGATTTATGTATTAAGTTTTTTTTTTTTGTATATTGCTGGAACAGAAAGATAATTATCTCCACATGATTTTTAAATTATTGTGTTTTGTATCAAATATTTTCAAAGCCTTTTTATATCTGGCTGTTAAAAAAAATGACCGGGCCCTTTATACTGTAGTAATATTTTAATTAGTCCTTTAGTTTTGTGATTTGAGTATAATAATAATTCAAGGTTCTCTCAAGAATTCATCATTTACATTAGTGGCCCTCTTGCTGAGGTGCTGTTGAATGAGATGTCCTCAACATTGACTTCCTACGAATTGAGGGGCGAGTACCGCAGAAACAGAGCTGAAAGCCTCAATTACTTACTCTGAATGACAACATGCAGAAGAAAATACATTTTTTTAGTCACAAAAAAAAAACTGTTTTGCTGCCTTTTAGCCGTTCGACAGAATTTTCCGGCTAGAAATTGAAGCCATTCCTCTCACCATTGTCTAGAGACAAACATCACCAATTTCACCCCACAGCCCACAATAGACTGTTGTTCCACTGCTACTTCCATGACTCATCCAAATACCTTATCTTGTGACTTCAGGTTTTATAATTCAGATTTTCCTGTGATCTGAACTTTAGCAGACAATTCAATCTAACATAAATATGCATAAAATTAGATTCCATGATGCTAAAACATTAAAGCTGATCAATATGTTTGGTAATAAAACCAGTTTCAAGGCAGTAGACAAAACTCAATTCTTTTTCCACTAGTGTGTTGCAGTTACCTCTTCACTGTCCACCAGTCCAACCAATCGCTCGCAGCTGCTGACATAATCACTGACACGGCTGTAGGGCAGCCAGTCAATCATGGCACCATCATACACCACATCTCCACTGAAGAGCAACTTATTGTCTCTGTCGTGAAGGCAAATGCTGCCCCTGGAGTGACCAGGCATGTGGAGCACGGTCAGCTGTCGGTCGCCCAGGTTGATGACATCACCTAGAAGAGAGGAGACAGATTCAGTTGTGTATATTTTAATTTACTACTGTTTGGGAGCCTGTTTTGAAGCTACGTGTAAGTCATTCATTCACACAAACACTGATGTCGTTTAACATCTACATAACAATAAAAATAATATGAGGGCAAATCTGCCAATATTCCGAAATCATGAAACTAAACACTATGCAGCGCTAACATGTTGTACGGAGAGATATTCACTACCATTGTTGTAAAATGTGTTTGAAGATGCTCAAAATAGACTCGGGTCGGGCTGACACTGGCACACGTTTATCGTAACATTTCCATCATAACAAAATGTCAATGTTTTTTCTTAATTGTTTCCAAAAGTCGCCCTGTATCCTCATGATGTCCAGAGTCTTGACATTCGGTTTATAAGTGGTTCCTCGCGCACAGGGCATGACTGTGGCACTCCAGGGTTTTAACTGCACTGCAGCAGTGACTCTGACACAGCAGAACAAGTCCATGTATTTGGCTGGTGCTGCAGAAATTGCACCATACTGTACTATAAATACTTAAATTTCCTGTGTGTAGTTTTTAATACAGGAGTCAACAACAGGAAGTGCACTCACTGCCTGATATTATATTTGTATCAGTCAGGGTTGGCAGAATTAGAGGGTGCCAAAACATGGTCGATTCCTAAGACGTGGCTTTTCACCAAAACAATGACATTATTACACCATACAAAGGTAGCAAGATCAGTCAAGGCCCGGGTTAACAACGACTGCAAACAGTGCTGTTGACCAACAGGGTACTAGTGGAAATTGGACTACTGTTAATTAAAGACAAAGAAGCGGAGGACAATTGATTCAGACAAAAAGAAAAAAGAGGAAGGATAGAAGTGTTGGCCTTAAGTTTGGAACTCTGAATGTAGGTACAATTACAGGGAAAGTGGATGGAGAGAAGAAGAGTAGACAATTTGTGTGTCCAGGAGACGAGGTGGAAGGGCAGCAAGGCTAGAAACAATGGAGAAGGCTACAAACTGTTTTATCATGGTTGAGCTGGGAAGAGAAATGGAGTAGGGGTGATCCTAAAGGAAGAATATGTAAGAAATGTGGTGGAGGAGAAACGAGAGTCAGACAGGTTGATGTGTGTGAAGGTAGAAATAGAAGGAGTGATGATTAATGTTGTTAGTGGTTATGCCCCACAGGTGGGCTGTGAGTTAGAAGAAAAGGAGAAGTTCTGGAAGGAGCTGGATTGGATGATAGAGAGTATCCCCAGGGGAGAGAGAGTGGTGATTGGAGCAGACCTAAATGGTCATGTAGGGGAAGGGGACAGAGGAGACGAGGAAGTGATAGGTAGGTTTGGTGTTAGGGAGAGAAACGTAGAAGGACAGGCAGTGGTAGATTTTGCAAAGAGCATGGAAATGGCTGTGGTAAACATCTATTTCCAAAAGAAAGAGGAACATAGGGTGACTTACAAGAGTGGAGGCAGGTCCACACAGATAGATTATATTCTATGTAGAAGATGTAATCTGAGGGAGATTAGAGACTGTAAGGTGGTGGCAGGTGAGAGTGTAGCCAAACAACATCGGATGGTAGTGTGCAAAATGATGATGGAGGTGACAAAAAGGAAGAGAGTGAAGACAGAGCAGAAGATCAAGTGGTGGAAACTAAGGAAAGAGACATGTTGTGAAGACTTCAGGAAGGAAGAAGGGGCAGTTCTGGGCCGCGGTGAGAAATTCCAAGATGATTGGGAGACTACAGCTGCAGTGATGAGGGAGACAGGTAGGAAGGTGCTAGGTATGTCCTCTGGGCAGAGAA